AGGAAGAAGTGTGACTGGTTCTGAATGACAACTTTTTAGTGCTGAAAGATTCTCTCATATGATGAGGAAAATGCCTATATCTCCAATCAATGGTCATAACAAAGAAAGTGTTAAATAGAACCTTTGTTTAACCAGAGGGCTAGGAACACGCTCCAGATGTAGCATGTCAGAGCTAGATGGACCTTGTTGAACAGATGTTTTACAGATAGATGAACAGGTTTGTAGAAGGCAAATGATACTCAAAATTAATAGTGGCAAAGTCCGAGCTGGAACTTGTTTCTTCTGACTCTTGAATGAATTCTTTTGACTCAAGCTTTTGATGTACTCTTGTTATTTCAAGTGGTTAAGTGATGTAACAAGCTTTTAGAAGAGTTGATATAAATGGTGCAATCATTAGTTGCTGCCATTCTTACAGAGTCTATGCTGCATATGGTATTGTTTTTAAAATGTTAAAATTTTGTCCATGCTGAAGCCAATTTCAGCCTCTAGAATATAGGTAGTACTAAAAGATGACCCTTAGGACAAAATTGAAATATCCTGGAATTGAGTATGGCCTGAATAATATTCATAGTCCAAAGATGACTCTCATGACATCTGAAATAAGTTGATTAAATAAGCAGAAATCAGTTATCTTTCATTCAATTGGTCACTTGAAATTTTAGCAATCACTTTGAAGCATGTAAGATTGACCTTGGTTAAATTACAAATATTTGCTCTATAACTGTGAGTAATTGATTACATGTACAATACCTATCCATATCAAAATTATGCACACAAAATGATTGTTCCTTTGAAATTTATACCTCTTGTAATTTATTCAGGTTAGCTCTCTAAACTATGTCCATGAAATGACTCTATAGTTATGGTTAACTACTTCCTTTAATCTCTTAAATCTTAAAATAGTTGGTCAGAGGGAAGCAGAGATAAACAATTTAAATCTCACCTCCACAAGGTAAGCAACTCAAATTGTTGTTTCTCTATAAGATAATCTACCTCTATTAGGGTATATGACCTAGACACCATGGTTGGTATGATAACTTAGTTACTGCAAAATGAGAGTTTTGTTGTAGAATAATCTTTTAGATTGTCTTCTTATTTACTTTTTAAACTACAATTCCCAAGGTAAAATGTGTTTATGTGTAATAAAATAAATAAAATAAAAGAAATAAATTGTTCAGCTTTTGCTGTTATCATAAGTCTTGAGTTTCTCTTCTTCTACAGCTAACTTCCTAGGGATAAATCAGTCTACTTCCCTGATCCCTAAGTTTTATGTCCATAAAATAGGAACCAAATAAGCTTGCTTAGAAGCTTCCTTGGAAGTATGGACATGATGAATAGTGGCTCTTTCCATCCTGAATATTAACCAGATAAAATGGCTTTTTCTGTTTTGAATAAAGATTGACAAAGATTCTTTACATCCTAGCTTACATTCAGGTTCAATGACGATAATTAGAAATGGGGAATTTAGAAGTCCCTGGCTTGTCCCAGTGGCATAGCAATGTTCTGCCTAACTCAGAGATGTTAAAGCTTTCATGGTCCATTGTATCCAAGATACTGATACTGATGACCAATAAAAGTGATATTATGGGACCCTTGTCCTCGTTACTCTTTTACAAAGTATAGAATCTTGACCCGCGAGAGGTGAACTTACTTAACAAAAGTGGAAGTGCTAAAGTAGCAGCAGCAGAATGAGGACTCAGATCTCTACTCCCCAGCCTGGCGCGTCTTCCCCTTGAGGTCAAGAATGGAATCCAGTACTGTGCTGTTTGGGGTTGGTCGCTGGGGTTTTTGTTTGTTTGTTTTGTGTTTTTGTGGGCTTTTTTTCTCATGTTCTCATTCTGAAGCTTCATCAGACATACTTTGGCAATGTGCAAGAAGGGACCAGTCCTTGGAGAAGGACATCATGCTTGGAAGGGTGAAGGGACAGTGCAGGAGAGAAAGACACTCAATGAGATGGATTGACTCAGTGACTTAGGGTAATGGGGATAGGTGTGTCAGAGACAATGAGGTTGACACAGGATAGAGCAGGATTCAGAACTGTTGTACATAAGATCACTATAGTGACTTGATGGTACACAACAATAAAAATAACATAGTATCTTAACAAAATGGAAATATTAATATCTTTAGTCAGACCATGCTCTTCATTTGGCCATAATTCCTCATCTCCCATGTTGTCTTGGACTTTACCATCTCCACAATTTAGGCATGCTCTTGGTTAAGCCTGATGGACAAGAGGAGGATCAACAGAACATAGGTGAGAAGGTCTTCCCCTGCTCTATCTTGGCGAGTCCCTTAATAAACATAAGAACATCATATGTGAACTCACTCTGTTTCACAAACCTCTACTCCTAGACAGTCATGTGCAAGTATCGGTTGCCCTTGTGTTGAACCTGACTGGGGGCAGCTCCAAGGGTGTCACAATGGAACTATGCTCCACAGGGTTTTCAGTGGTTGATTATTCTGATGCTTCTCTGGATGGACTGGGTCCTCCAACCTTTTGGTTAGCAGTTGAGCACATTTACCCTTCACACTACTCAGGGACTCCTCACCTAAATGTCTTCTTCCTGGGATGCCATAGCACCTGTGATGATCAAGAACCTAATCCCAAATCCTGAAACTGTCTTCAATTCCTAACAATGAATGGTCTCCAACTCTGTAGCCTTTTATTTTAATCTCTAATCTCACAAATAGAGAGCTCTGGTCACCTAGTGGCAAGAAGCTGCACTGCAATCTCAAAGGCACGCAGTTCAAGACCACCAGCAGCTCTGCGAGAGAAGTATGGGCAATCTCCTCTCATGTGATTAACTGCTTCTGAAAACCAGCTGGAGGGTCAGTTATGGGTTGGTTCCAACTCACTGATGTACAACAACAATAACAACAACCATCTCACAAATGAAAGTCTTGTTGTTCTTGTTAGGTGCCGTTGAGTTGAGCATGACTTATAGCGACCCTATGAACAAAAGATCTGAACCCTGTTCTATCCTGTGTCATCCTCACACTTCCTTACACAGAAGAGCCCATTGCAGCAGTCACCATGTCTATCCACCTTGTTGAGAGTCTTCTTCTCTTTTGCCAGCCCTCCACCTTTCCCAACATCATGTCCTTCTCTAAGGAATAGCACCTTCTAGCAACATGTCCAAAGTATGTGAGGTGAAACCTTATCATTCTGGTGTCCAAAGATCACTCAGGCTACACCCCTCCAAGATATATCTGTTCATTCTCTTGGCCATCCATGGGATGTTCAGTACTTTTCTTCAACACCACAGCTCAAAGGCATCAATTCTTTTGCTGTCATCCGTATTCATTGTGCAGATCTTGGCTGCATAGCTAGTAATCAGAAAGGCTATGGCCTGAATCAGGTACACATTAGTCCTCAAACTGACATTACTACTCCTAAATAATTTGGAAAGTTCCTTAACCATTATTTTTCAGTGCAATATGTCTCCTTATTTCCCGATTACTCGTACCATGGGTGTTAATTGTAGATCCAAGGAAGATGAAGCTCTTGAAACTTTCAATCTCCTCTCCATCCATCTTAACACAGCCTATTGGTCCAGTGGTAAGAATCTTTGTTTTCTTGATATTGAGATGAAATCCATACTAAAGTCTGTATTCCTTGATCTTCTGCAACAAGTGCTCCAAGCCCTCCTCAATTTCAGCAAGCAAGGTTGTGTCACCTGCATAATGCAGTTTAGTGATGAGTCTCCTTCCAATCCTAATGCCACACTCCTCTTAATAGAGTCTAACTTCTCAGATAATTTGCTCAGCATATAGATTAAACAGGTAGGGAGACAGAATACAACCCTGATGAACTCCCTTTCCAATTCCATACCATGCAGTGTTCCCCTGCTCTGTCCACACAACTGCCTCCTGATCCAAATAAGTCCACAGGAACCAAGATACGATCTTAAATAAATTCCATCTGACTTTCATGATCATCTTAAGAATAGGTTCAAGCATTGGACACCAATGATAGAAGACCAGATGAGTTGTGGGATGATATCAAAGATATAATCCATGAAGAAAGTAAAATGTTTACAAAAACAGAGGAGAAAGAAAAAAAAAATCAAAATGGATGTCAGGAGAGACTCTAACGATTGCACTGGAGCACTGAGAAGCCAAATCTAAAGGAAAATGTTTTAAATGAAAGTCCATTGAGTGAATTTTCCAAAGTTTCTAAATGTACCATTATAGTAATACACCATCTCAGTATCTCAGTTTACCCAACACTCATGATTCCGTGAAATACAAATGTCACCAAATGCTTAATCATACTTCAGTGCCCCTGCTGTTCATGCAAATACGCAGACAGAATCAGGAAGGACATTTGGTTATCTCTGTTTCTCAGTGCTGTCTTAAAGGTTGCATCTTTCAATCAATGCTATTCTTACTTTCCTAAGTGTAAATTACTCTATTGTAGATATGGAATACATTTTTTTTGTGGGTCACTGGTTTAACTCTATAGTGTGAATTTTGACGCTTTTTCTTAAGGGGTAGATGTGAATATATACATTCATTGTGGTTGCAATGCAAACCATCTATACTCTTAACGCTAACATAGATATCCACAAAAATCTCTGAGTGTGTTTCCACAGTGACACTTCCTGTTACCACAAAATTCTCTTTTTATTTTCAAGTGGGGCCACTAAGTGAGCTACAGAGAAAAAGCCACAATCAGAAAGACTTTAACAAATTGCTTCTTGAACGAATTGCTATTCTTACTCTTAGTTTTATGCTATTTCTTTGTCCAACAGCGTAGGGTGTGGTTGAAGACAGGATGCCCTCTTTCTTGATTTTCCTGGCACTTAATAGTTGTACATGCAAAGCATAGACTTAATAAAATAGGCTGAGCTCCGATATTTGACTTTCTGGAGACACTGCTTAAAACTAAGCAACCAAAGCAGCATCCCACTGTCTTACTCCACCCCCCGAGCATCCTGGGACCCTAGAACCTTAGATGGGAGACCCTGAAGCATAGGACTTGAAGGATGAAGTACCTGGTAGGCAGGTGGGCAGTTCTCTCCCCAGGATTTTGTTCATCCAGATGCCTTGGGCAGAACAGGTATATATGCCTGGAAGAGTGGGGGGGGGGGGGAAACATGTGGAAAGAGAGGGAGAAAATGGTTGATTTGTTGCACATGGAGAAGCCGATGTGGGTCATGATTTTTCTGTTGTGGGTGGATTGTTGCAACATCCTGAATGATCTCTCTGTGCCAGTCCTCTGCCAATGGCAACTGACAGGGTCTTTCTGAGGTGGAAATCTCTGTTTTCTGCTAAAACTTCTAATGACTCCCCATTGTCCTCAGAAATAAACACACAACTCTTTAGCATGGTGTCCAAAACTGTGCAAGCAAAACAGCCAATCTCTCGCCCACACTGCTCTGCCCTGGAAGCACCTGGTTACCCTGGTCTCTGTGTAGCAGAAGCCCTCTCTGTCCTTGTCTGCCTAACAGACTCCCTTCACAACCCACTCTCATGTTCATCAATTCACTTGGATTTTCCAGTAGTACTGTGTGCTCTTATCAGTGTCTGCTTTTTTGACCAGTGTTGACTTGCTGGTCTAGAGAAATAAGCACTAATGTGACAGACACAGAGCTTCCATACCCCTGAAAGTTGCTTCTTTCTGTGAGACGCTGAGGTTTAACTTGCAGGTAGAAGTTTGAGGCAGGGAGAGGTGAAGCCTGAGCTTCCAAGTGTTTCTTCTCTCAATTCCTCCCAAGCCTCCACAGAAGCCAACAGACTGACTGTTCCTGGCCCTTTGCCTCCAGCCCTCATGCAGCCAGGGATCCTGTGCCAGGTGGCATAGTTGAGGCCTGGGCGGTGGCAGCTGTGGCTGTGGTAGAGTCTGGGTCCGGGCAGTTGCTAATCTTGTGTAGTGAGACAGTGACTTCCTCCACTAGGACCAGAACAGATCTGTGAGGGGAGTATTCCACCAGGCCTGCTAAAGAGCCTGGTGTGGTCAGATGCTACATGGGGCCAGAGGCCTGCTCAAGTCACCACACTAGGCTTTTCCTTGGGGACCTAGCTCAGCCTCAGGCAACAGGCAGTTATCTTGTGAGATAGCAGACTTCTCTCACTTCTTCCCTTGGTTGTGTCTGTGTAATGTCTTTTCAAGATCTAGATACACAAGTAGAATCAGTGTTTTCAATCACAGTAACAAACAAAACACAGTTGGATTTGGATCTTGAGCCTCTGTTTCTAGGCCTCCAGACAGACTCAGTAACACAAGATCCTAGTTTCATTCCTTTCACAGTGGTTTCAGCCTCAGCTAGGGGCTATGAAGAGGGGCCAGAACGGTTTAGTATGAAGGGCTCACCTGTGATATTCTGGAGCATCTTGTAATAGGGCTGCTGGCAGGAGTATCTAACCTCAGATTTGTACGTGGTGAGGTTGTTCTTGGTGGAGAAGGTGACGAGGCCATGTTCCAGCTCTGCTGGGGCTCTGCAATCTGCAACTGAGAGTGAAGAGGAATGAGACTCCTTGATTAACTCTTCCCTCTTTCTCTTGGGACCTTCTTCTGATGAGTCTGTCTCATGGCTGCATGGGTTGCACACTGCACAAAATCCCAGATGTGCACAGTGCAACCTGTGTCAACACCTACGGTCTGGCTTTTAGGCTCTCCCTTAGTCTTAGTCGTGTAGCAAACTCACCTGACCTGATGTCAACTCCAAGGCACGGGTAGAAGGCCTGCTGACATTTATGCAGACTCAGTCCCTCTCCCACATGGCCCCTTTCCTGGACTTCCAGCATTCTTGTGCAACCTTCTCAGCTTCTTCTGCCCAACTATGAAGCCCATGGTTCAATGAGATAAATTGCAGCTGACAAGAACCAAGGAATCTTCCATTTTTCCAGGCCCAACCACATGCTGAGTAAGAGTGGCTAATGTGTTCACATTGGAGCTTGGCATGAAAGCACAAACACAAACAGAGAAACTAGCTTCCGCATGATTCTACAACTCCGCCCCTTTGGCTCTCCACAGGCCTCTCCCTTAGCCACGGAAGGCAAAGGCAGGGTGAGAGTGGGCTACTTGCTCATTTTCTCTACTTGTTAGTGGCTAGATATCTGGGCTGGCCATGGACCCCAGTGTGGGACAAGACCAACAATGCCTGCTCCCCAGAGGTGGTCTTTGGGGAACTCATCAGTCCCTACCAAGCTACATGTTTGGTCCCCTACTGTGGAGATGTTATTCAGGTCAGAAGCTGAGTAGCCCATTTACCAGTGTTCCTTCATTTCTAAGGGAACCCTAATTGACTCAGTGACTGGGGTAATGGGGTAGGTGTGTCAGAGACAATGAGGTTAGCTCAAGATAGAGTAGGGATCAGAGCTCTTGTACATAGAGTTTCTATGAGTCATAAGCAACTTGATGGCATATTACAAGAACAGCAATAATCTTAGATGCAATGACGTATGCTAATGTAAAAAAATCATAAAGAGATCACAGAATTTCACAGTTGGAAAGAACATAAATGCAGACAACCCAGGACAGCCTGTTTATTTCACAGATGTATCAAGAGAGGAGACTTACTGGCCTCAGGCCACACAGCAAGTGAACATCAGACTAAGAATAAGAATCCAGGCTTCCTATTTGTCTTAGTGCCCTTTAACTAAACTGACAGTTGTTGCTGTGTATGGTAGAGTCGGAACCGACTCATAGCTGACCCTCTGGCAGGTTTTCAGAGGCATTTTCAGAGGCACAGGAGGAGATTGCCTATCTTTCTCCTACAGAGCAGCTGGTGGCCTTGAACTGCATACTTTCGGGATTGCAGCACAGCTTCTTGCCAGTAGGCCACCAGAGCTCAACCGAGAGTTACTAAGGACCTATTTTTCAGTTAAATGGCCTATAGCTCATATAATTCTGAGATTTCTTTATGATTCTTTTACTATGACTTTGTTAAAAAGGCCCACACTAAATATTAGGGAGTGGCAGCTTAGTGGCAAGAAGTTATGCTGCAATCCCAAAGGCACGCAGTTCGAGGCCACCAGCCACTCTTTGAGAGATGGATGGACAATCTCCTCTTATGTGATTAACTGCCTCTGAAAACTCACTGGAGCGTCAGCTTTGGGTCATTTCCAACCAGACAGTAAATAACAACAATACTAGATATTAACATTCACTTACTGCTGTGTAGTTGGAATTGACTAGTAACTGGCAGGTTTGGGGGTATGATCCTGCTGAGAGAGGTTGCCCATCTTTCTCCCTCAGAATGGTTAATGAATTCAAACCAGCAGAGAGGCACTGTCTTTGTATTAACTGCATCACTCCCTAGAGACGGTACCACCTGAGCTCCCTATAACTGATATTAAGGAGTCTTGCTTGATGATTAAGTGGTTAAGTGGTTAAGACCTCAGCTTTTAACTGAGAGATTAGTGGTTCCACCTACTAGTTACTTCAAGGGGAAAGATCAGGCAATCCACTTCTGTAAACACGATGGCCTTGGAAAACCTATGGATAATTCAACTCTGTCTTACAGAATCTCCAAGTCAGAAGCCACTGGACAGCAAGGCGTTTGGGTTTTTGTTTTGTTTTGCATACACAGTATTAGCTGGCTAGCGGAGGACATTAGCTTTTAACCTGATCATTTCAGAGGGATAGAATTTCTAGAATTCTTTCTTCTGATGAATGTAACCTGCTGATCTTGGGAATTGGAGAGGGGGCAGCTTCCACTTGGAATGCTATTCATTGTTATTTTAGAAGCCAGGTTAACGGGGCAATGGGAGAGAATCTGCCTAATGTAAAGTATGTAAATGTAAATGTAGCACCTTCAGGATAGAGGAGATGGATGAAGAATGGGAATCGATCCACAGGAAGACAGAAGTTTTAAAATAGATCAGTTACTATTTTGTCCTGACCACAATTTCTTCGGAACAGGAAATGTTCAGGAAATATTCATTTTGGTCATTCAAATGTAGTTGTTGCTGTTAGGTGTCATCGAATCAATTCTGATTGATAGGGACCCCACAGCAGAATGATACCCGGCCTGGTCCTGTGTCGGTCTCCCCAAACACACCTATACTCTGAAAGCTGAGAGTGTTAGAGTCAATACCAGAATAACAGGAAGCAGGAATAGTTATTATTTAAAACTCCGAACAGTTTCAAGTTTATTTTCTCTTGCTGGCATTCACAACACTTTTCCCTTCCTCTTTTGGGAAATGCTGCTGATTGGCACCTAGATAGGGTTTGGCTTCGGCTTCGGCAGACTGTCTCCTGTTTTCCTTCACTTAGGTCCAGCAGCTCTTTTGCCTAAAGTAACCTCAAAACAATATGACCCAATCCCTAGGGGAGAAATCCCAGAGTTGGTCTTAGAAATGGATAGTCAGCGAATTGAGAGCTTGTTACAACCCTAGCACTAGACGTTTAGGGCCTTGGCTGCCTGTTCTAGACTCTTGTCTTCTGGGTAGAAGGCCTACTTTCCACTCACTCTAGAAAAGTAACTGTGCCCACTCAGAAGCTCATCCTGCAACCAGATAAGAACTGAATAAAACCAAATCAAACAAAAAAACCAGTTGTCATCAAGTTGATTCAGAGCCATGGCAAATATGTGTGTTTCTGAATAGAACTGTGCTCCATTCAGCTTTCAAGGACTCTGACATTTCGGAAGTAGATTGCCAGGTCTTTCTTCTGAGGTCTTTAGGTAAATTAGAGCTGCCAACTCTTTGGTTGCAGGGAAGATGTTGTTGTTGTTAGGTGTTGTTGAGTATGACTCATAGCAGCCCTATGAACAAAAGACCTAAACCCTGTCCTATCCTGCGCCATCCTCACACTTCCTGATACTTAAGAGTCCATTGCTGCAGTCATTGTGTCAATCCACCTGGCTGAGGGTCTTCCTCTCCTTCACTGAACCTCTACCCTTCCCAACATCATGTCCTTCTCCAAGGAATAGCACTGCTAGCAACATGCTCAAAGTATGTGAGGTGAAGGCTCATCATTCTTGTCTCCAAAGAGCACTCTGGCTGTACCCTCTTCAAGACATATCTGTTTGTTCTCTTGGCCATCTGGGGGATGTTCAGAGCTGAGAAATAGTGGAAAAGTGATATTGAGGGAGGAAAGATTGGATTTTCTTTCCAGAGCCACAGCGGCCTGCAAACAGCCAAGACTATGAGATTGGGAGACAATTTCTGTTTATAACAAGCCTTAAGCAGCTCTGCCTGGCCCATTAAAAAAAAATAAATAAAAAAATCCCACGTCAAGATCCTGTCTCCTCAGTTAACCTTCTTTGCTTCCAGAAGAGTGTCATCCTTCTCTTCAGGGTTTCTTGTGGTCACTTTCACACTCTGCAATCAAAATGTCCTTTCCTTTCTCAGTTCCACGATTTTCCTTTCTCATAGATTCTGGGAAGGGATGTGCCATCTTACACTCCTTCCTCACTGTCGTCTTTGTTGCTGTCTACTTTCCTGCAGACACACTTTTATGAAGCTGAGCAGTGCCTTGCCACAGTTCAGACCTTCTTAGAGAAAGGTGCACAAATGCCCCACTCAGCACTCAGGCTCTGGGCCCAGGGATTTGACTCTAGTCCTTGTCTCAGTCTCATTTCCACCCTTTTTGTTGGTGCACTTGGGATCCAGTATCACCTGACGTACTGTTGTATATACTTGCCTGTTGCCTTCCTGCTTCCAGGTCTTGACTTTTGCAATGTTTGCTGCCAAGGTCACCTGTTTGTCCATGCTCAAGCCTGGGTGCCTGGTCAAATATTACATCTCAAAAGCCTGTTCTAGTCCTTTGACTGGAGAGGGCTACTTTTTCACATTACCCCCAGTGTCCTTCATGCCTCCTTCTCAGGCAGCAAGCTTCTTACACAGCTTTACAGTTATTTATGTATAGCCAGATCTTCTGTTCTAATTTATGGACCCCTTTCCTGCTGGCTGGTCTGCTCTGCAGGGTTAAAAATGTCATCTGATGGATGTTTTTCTTTAGTAAGGAGCCCTGGTAGCTAGTGGGCAAGGAGTTGAATTGCCAATTCAAAGTCTGGCAGTTCAAATCCATAAGCTGCTCCTGGGGAGAAAGACAGGTAGTCTTTCCCCATGTGATTCAGAGGCATTGAAAACCCATTTGAAGGTCAGTAGTGAGTCTGTTCTGACTTGATGGTAAGGAGTAACTGGTCCATCTCCATGCTTAGTGACAACTCGGGCTCAAGAGCCCAAGAGACCTCAGTTACTGCTCTTGCAGACTGTCCCTTTTGATATCTTTATTTATCTAGTTTTGCAGTGTTCATCTTGCAAGCAGGATCTTACTCACTAAATCAGACTTGTCAGCTGTAATTTAATATGGGCTTTTCTAGTATGTGAAGGTGCTCTCAGGTCATAGTTCTTACAGAGTTGTGCTGCTAATCCAAACTCAGCACTTCTCCGGCAGTTCAAGTCCACCAACAGCTACACAAAAGAAAGATGAACAATCTCCACTGTGACTTACAGTTTCCTTAAACCCACTGGAGAGCCAGCTATAAGCTGGAAACTTGATGGTATTTTTTTTTTCCATTTTCTAGAATGTACATCCTGATACGGTTCAGGCTGGAGGAGGGGAGGTTCCCAGAGTGCTGGCCACTGCTCCCGGGGCCCTTTCTTTATTGCTATTTGTAACTTAATGATGTTCTTTGGCAGCAAAGTTGAGAACTACTGCTATCAAGTGTGATTTAAAAGAAAAAATAACCTGTAAACTTTAAGAAATGAGATATGTGTAAACCCTAGAGGAAATAGCCTTTCATAACAAAATTTCATTCCCTGTGTTAGGTGTGAACAGGAGAAGATGGCCAGAGTCTTAAAAATCCTGTTATCTGAGTTATTATTAATTTCATCTACGTGTGGTTATTAGGAAGTAGAACAAATAGTAGCCATAAAAGTCATAAAGCCACAAGAATTCTAGTCTATTAAAACTTCAAGTGTTGAGTGGATGAGAAAACAGGGTCCACTCTACCCTGGTGAGCCAAAATAATCACATGATTGTATATTTAATCACAAGTGTCCTTAGGACCAAAGGGCATGTGTCCTTTGAGAAGTAGAGTCCACTTCAAAGCAGTAAAAAAAAAACAAAAAACAACCCAAAAAAGTCCCCCATTGAATTTTCATTAATTTCCAGACTAATGTTTGACCCTCACATAAAGAATCTGTTCTCATGTACACATCATGCTCTTTTGCTTGAGACGGTGTTGCCTTGTTTAGCATCCGTTATAATCCACACCGAAACAGGGAGTGGCATGTTTGTGGACTGGGGCTGGGTGGGGGCGCTCTGGGACCCTGGAGGCTCTATGGGTGATCCATTCCTGGGGGTCTGCACAGTGTGAGCTCCCATCTTTCACTCTGTCACTTGCTCTGCCTCAAGTTCTCTCTCCAAATCGATTTCGGTTCCTGGCAGCGCGATGAGATCAAAGTGGGATCAGGTGGTGTAGAGGAAGAAGGCAGAGAGAGTCCGAGAGAAAAAGAAAGAAAGGGAGAGAAAGAAGAGAATGAAAAAGGTTAGCTAGCAAAGCACAATCAGTTCATGCAGGAAATACAGAAACCCCTCTACCAGAATTGATTCAGAATGCACAGGTTAGATACAGCCAGTGGGAAGGACAGTTTGAGGTTGTGAAATGTGTTCCATTATGAGATTTTGCACAGTCACACATCCTAGATCATGAGGATTATAAAATTCTGCCTGTGAAGAGAGCTTCACATTTACTTGGTCCAAACTCTCATTTGACATAGCATTCAGAATGGGGCCGGACTGGTCTGAGGTCATCATGGTAAGATAGAAGCCAGTCTAAGACAAAGAACCCTCTTTTCCACCTTCCACTCTAGCGAGCTTTTCTTTCCCTCATACTATACGCACCTCACCTGATTCCAGTCTCTTCCCCCATAGTCACTGAGAATTTTTTTTAATCATCTTTGAGTTTCCATTGGGATCTATAGAGAAAAATGCTCATTAAATCCCTAATAAGTGGACGAGCAAAGATACCAGGTGTCTCTGAGGGCAGGATTCTGGTAGTTTTATTCCAGGCTATTGTCTAAGAACCAGGTCATATTAAGGAGGACAACATTCCTCTTTTCTTGATTATAAAATGAGGGGACATGTGTGTGATGTGTGTGTAAGTAACATAAAGCACAGTAAGATAGTATCATAAAATATAGTAGTGCTTTATATTGTAAACCCATCCATCATAGCAAAATGCAAATGTGTTTCTATTTGGAAAATTTGTTATTGAAATTTCCTATCTTTCATAGGTATGAATGAGTTAAACCAAATCTCTTCCTAATGAAAGAAGTAGAGGACATGAATCAGGTTTTAGTGACCTTTTACTATGTTCCTTTTTGAACCATGTTGTTGTTGCTGTTATGTGCCATCGAGTCAGGTCTGACTCATAGCAGCCCTTCCAGTGATTGCTTTCTGAGGCACCATAAGAATGCACATTAACCCAGTTAGCTCTCATTAAAACCTTGAAGGCAGAATACAAGCTAAAAGAGGCTGAGTAAATGGCTTAGGGACACTCCATCTGAATTCTCTACAGAACTCTGCACAGACATTCCATAAATGTTTATGGGAACATTTGGTTGAAGGTAGACAAAAGTTCCTTTATTTCCATGCTAAGCTCTAGCTCAAGTTTTATCATTATTAAAAAAAAAAAAGAAGAAGAACATTCTGCATTAAAGTTCTGCCTGGAAATAGACTCAGTCGCTTGATAGCCTTCTCCTTGGACAATGGAGGTTTATCAGAATCATAGAAGGAAGAGAAAGAAAGCACCACTCCAAACTTTACCAAAACACTCTTGAGATAAAGAACTATCCTGATTCCTGATTCCTCATTTCCCCTTTTGAGAGCAAAGACTCCCTCCTTCTCTTCCTCTCATCTTTTCTTACTGTTTTTTCTATGACCTTCTTTCTATGGTTTTTTTCTGTAACCATGGCTTTCCTTAATCTTGCTAAGGATTAAGAAATAGATTTACGAGAAATAGATTTCTTATCTCCTTTTTGTCCAGTCAGAATTGACTTGTAACTGGGCTTCCCAGGATGCACCTGGCTCAGAAGGTGATTTCCCATCTTCCTATTAGGGAGGAGGTTGCTGCTGTTTGCTGTTGAGTTGGACCCGACCCACAGCTGACCCTTTAGTGGGTTTTCAGAGGCAATAAATTGCACAGGAGGAGGGTGCTCATCCTGGCTGGCAGGTTTGAACCATGTACCTTTGGTATCATAGTACAGGTTCTTACCACAGGCCACCAGAGCTCCTGAGACATGTGGCCTTTGAATTAGCAACACATCTCTCTATAGACCATGTCATGGATCAGTGTTCTGAAAGTGTGGTCCTTACAACTCTTGCACTGAAATCACCTGGTTAAGTGCAGAGGAGGGAGACATTTGTATTTTCATAAATTATGTAGATTGTGTGGACAAACAGATGACTTTTATGGAGTACATTATTACAGATAATTGACTTGAACTATTTGTACAAAATTATTAGCATATTCATTAGAGTATTAGAATTAGTCCAGACCTTTTATTTTGTCTTGTGAATGGTCACAGAGAAGATAAAGGATAAAGTGGAGACAAGACTTCTGCATCTCAAGCCCCAGAAGTGCACAGCTATGTCTTGTGTTCCACACAGGCAAATAATGGTGACCCCACAGTCCTTCCTGCCCAGGGTGAAATAAGGAGCTGTCCCAGAAGACTTATGGAAGTTTTGATAGCCACATAGGCACTGGTGATGCCACTCAGTTCTGGGCACCAGCCATAAAATGGTTTACTGAACTAGCAATTGCTGGAGCTTGTTTCAAACAGGTCAACATGCTACCTTTTAAAACCAATATGGCAACCTGTGAAGAGGTTTCACAGAGGTGAAATTGCTATTTATAAAGTAAGCTGTGGCACATAAGACATTTTGCCTTAGACTTCTAAAGTCTCTTTACTGAGAAGGTCATCACAAGGTTTTTTGACTCAACTCTTACATATCAGTTGTGGTCCCATCACTGAAATTTCTGAAACATTTTAGCAGTTGATGGAGGAAGCTAGGAAATATTGTCCTGGGACTACAAAAATCCTAGATGCCAATCTGAAGTAGCCATCTTAGTCTTGCCTCTTTTTCTTCCTTGCTTGGTCTCTGGTCAGATTTCATAATTTCTTATAACCTATCCAATCATTTTTCTTACAAACAGCTTCTTTACTTTTCTTACCTTTACAAATAGGGACCTGGTTACTCCACGATCCATCCTTCAGACACTCAATCTGGAATGTCTCCATCTCCACGTTATCCTAAGAAGAAACATGAGGGAGCCATGAGGAAAAGGAAGTGGATGTGGGGCCAGACCATTGCCGTTCAGCTCAAACTCCAAACCTGGCTGTCCTCAATTGCAAATTTTCAGTCATGACTCTCTAAGGTCAAGCTTAAAGACAAAAGAAAGGCAGATTCTGAATCCGCATTCACATCTCTCACCTGGAAGAGGAGAAACTATTTCCAGGAAGGGGGGCTGGCTTGTCTCTGAAGGAAATCCTGCACTCTTGACTCCTTTTCTTAGGCAATGATGCTTCAAGTTGAGGGAACCTCAATATCATCTGCAGGGTTTAATAAAACCCAGAGAGCTGGACCTTCCCTAAGAGTTTCTGATTCTATAGGCCCAATAATTTCCATCTCCAGAAAGTCCCCAGGTGATGCTGATACTGCTGGTCCAAGGACCAGATAACTCTTTTTAGGGTAATGGTCTTCTAGCTTTTCTTTCATCAGAGAACACAAAATAAACCAATAATTGGTTTCCAGTCCCAGAGATTCTGCTTTCAGTAATTTGAAGTGAAGTCTGGGAAATTTGTTTTGTTTTGTTTTTTTTGTTTTTTTAAACAAAATGATTCTTAGGAGAACCACTCTTTTAAAGAGTGAGTGAGCAGTGTCCATCTGGTATTTAAAGCCCTGTGCTTTAGTACACATGAAGATTGCCAAAATGTCAAAAAGAACAAACAGGTATGTCTTGGAGGGGCTGCAGCTGGAGTGCTCTTTGGAGGCAAGAATGATGAGGATTCACCACACATGCTTTGGGCATGTTTCTAAAAAGGGCTATTTGTTAGAGAAGGACATGATGCTGGGAAGAATGGAGGGTCGGTGAAGAAGAGGAAGACCCTCAACCAAGTAGACCGACAGTGTCTGCTGCAATGAGATTTTGTGTGTCAGGAAGTATGAGGATGGCACAGGATAGAACAGGGTTCAGATCTTTTGTTCATAGGATTGCGGTGAGTCATGCTCGACTAGATGGCACCTAACAGCACAACAACATATATATTGACCACATTTTTTTAAAAAAAACAACCAAAAAGCTTTACTTCCTTTCCCATTTTCCATCAGATAAGCTTGATGAACTTCATTAAATGTATTAGACTTAATTATAGGGCTGCTGTTTCACAGTTTTTGAAACTCAGGCCAATCTACTTTTTGATAAAAGGCTTATTCCTATTTGCAAAAATGAGAGAGTGTTTGAGACACATGGTTTGAATTTTTAGAAGACTTGAACTTCTGGAACATTTTAGTGGTTTATAGGGAAACAAGGAAATAGTTTGCCAGGACTATGAGGAGTTTTGGAAGCTCATTGCCCCCACGAGACTTTGGAGAATGTCTCTGGCCTGCTCTCCCTGTCTCCAGACTCAGGGCCTGTACCTTTATCACTTTGTAGCCTGTGTCACAGCTGATGAGCACTTGGTCTTTGAAAGAATACTTGGCTTGCAAGGGCTCGATTTTCCCATGGACAGGAGGCTGTAGCTCTGGGCACTCATTTCCTGGTGGGAAGCAAATAAAAGTGCAGCAAGTAAGAAGACAGGAAAAGTTTCACAGAGGGAGGATCAGCTTCTGAAAGGTAAAGTCTGATGGAGGTGGAAAAACCACCGTTGTGTGGTTGTGAAATATAGCCCTTCTAAGCCCATCCAGAGAGGTATGATGCAACCTTGACCAAGTCGTTATCCAGCTTGGCACCTTCATTTCTTTATGTTTTAAATGAGATGACTTGCTATATAACTTCATTAAAATTCAGGTTTGGAAGAATATTAAATATCACTGAATCTGATGCTTTCTCTATAGTATTTTCCAGAGTAGATATCCACAAATATCTATTTGTTCAATAATTCCCATTCTGGTACCTTCTCTACAAGGGTTGCTCAGATTAAATGAACAAAACATCAGTATTTATACACAATTTGATACCCTGTAATTTTTACTAGCTGAGCCTAGTGCCCTCTTGGTTTACTCATGCTGACTTCAAACAGTCTTTCTGCCCAAGACTTTTGCTTGAAGTGTTTGTGAGATTGTAATTGTATGCCTCTGAGTTGTCTGTTCTCCAGGCTAAATCCAACATGGTTTCCAGGTTTTTAGACCTCTCCCTGACACTTCTTCCAGTTTGTTAATAACCTCTCTTCTCCTCTTCCCAGGACTGGACACTAGATGTGACAATGCAGGTAAGATCAGGTCCCCATAATCTGTAAACTGTGATAATAAACTATGATCTTTTTGCCATTGATGTTTATCTTCTCCTTGGAGTTATAGCAGATCCCTCTGGTCAGTTAGTCAGCTCATGGTTTGAGCCAGGACTAATTGTCTTGAGGGACTGGAGAAAGCGACCTGTGGGTTTTGCCAGTCTGAGTGGGTCACTGGGAGGCAGCAGCCATAAAGAAACATTCTGAGCTACAAACCCACAGTCAAATCGTCACACAAAACAGACAAAAAGAGTGGAAATAAAATGACCTTCTCTAGTCCTAATGAATCACAGTGGGAGGCAGTGGGATTTGAGAAAGAAAGTTTTAGTTTTACACTTTATGAAGATCCTTCATAAGTTGTATTGACACTGTGACTGTAATAGTGGACTTGAGCATATCAGAGATTGTGAGAAAGGACCAGGATTTGCCAAGGCTCACATCTGTTGTTTATAGGGTTGCTATGAGCCGTAATGGACTCTATAGACCTAACAACAACAATGTGATTTTGAAGTACAGTATGTTTTGAATACTACCAGGTTAGTTAAAATCTATCATGATGATCTTTCCTGCTTTCATTTTAGAGATGGAGACCTGCATTAAGAGAGAGAATATGCTTTTTGGGACAGTTGGAAGTCCTGTCACGTCCCCAGAGGAGCTCCAGGTCAGCAGCATTCTTCGTTCTTCTCCCGTGGCCCCTGTTAAGGCTGAGCACTGTGACTTAGTGTGACCTGGAGGTGGAGAGACTATGTCACCTGTTGCCTTGTAGGAAAGCCTCCAGCCCCGGTTCTCGCCAGAGTTGTCACTGTGGAACAGGATATGGACTCTGTGGCTCTTGGTATCAATAGGTTCTGGGGCTTTTTCTCCACAGAAAGGTCCCAGAACTTTTGGACCAGCTTTAATCTACGAGGGAAGAGATAGAGAAAAAGGAAATGTCACTTTGAAATGGCCAATGTGACTTTCCGGAAGCGTTAATGTAAACTCATGGTATTCATCATTCAGGTTGTTGGTAATGTTACCATTCCTCAAACGGTTTCATCTCCAGTCTCCCCTGTATACTTTACAATGGCTTTAGAAGTGAATAAGATAGACTAATAACCA